GGCAGCACCACTATGAAAAGCATTAAAGGCTCACGAACAGCTCAGGCAGTCTGCTTGCTGGGGCAGTTACTTTTTGTTCACAGAGGGGAGGACTCTCTAATATCCAGTCCTTCTCATTCTTAGTCCTGAAAGGAAAACAATTCTCAGAGCCAAGGATAATAGAGGCATGTTGAACAGCCTGTGTTTTCTCTGGGAGATAAGGATGGCAAAGAGACTGCGCCTTGGGGGTCCTCAGTGAAAGCAGGAAGGGAGAGCAGCCGGCGTTAAAGGGTCAGAATATTGCCCATCCAGAACCAGAGGCCTTGGAAATCAGTTGGCCTCTTCCACAGGCATGAAGCAAGCTAAGCCAAGCTCAGGTAGCAGTAGTAAATCAAGAACATGCACGATCTGTATATAGTGGAAAGAGGTTCTGCAGCATGTCTGTGACAGAAAACAGAGCAGTTGTTCAGTATGGAGCATAGCTTTCAGGAATCACAGGGGAATGTGCACGGGGAAATAGATCTGGCAAAAAATGATGCAATGCAAATGCAGGCAGGTATTTGCATAGAGAGAGCATGTAAGATAGCACAGTCACTCTGGGTACCTGCATCTTAAGAGCATTGATGGGGACCTACCTTCTTGAATATGGGGGGGGCGGGGTGAGAAGGGCATGCAACTGGGGCTGGGTGCACCTGAATGCTGAAGACCTAGTCCCCAGCACTGGGAACTGTGCATCAGCTGGAAATGTAGGTCTACAGATGGAAAGATGTGTGAAGAGTATAGCTGGAGCTGTCTGTAGCTTATACGATGGGGATCCAGATGTTGGCACGTACATGGAGAATGCATTTTAAAACTTGAGTGTGAAAAAGAGAAAACTGAATGAGCTTTTATAACCCTCCAGGCACCCTGTAAAGGCAAGTAGAGAAGTCTTCCCTTGACTTCTGTAGAATGGTTTTTAAAATGCGTGGGAAGGATGCCTACATCTATTAAATTCAATGTTTTTAAATTCATATACATTATCCTGTGTGACTTTTCTGCAAATCGTTACTGGTTTCATACCTAAGCTAGAGGCTGCTCTGTAGGAGCAGCAGCGAGCAACTGTAAAGGGTGCTCTCTTCCTTTTCTTGCTCTTTCTTCCAGCACTTGTGCATCAGGGGATTGCACTACTGTTATTTGGTTGTTGCGCAGCTCTGGTGGCCTTGAGGTTGGGATGGTTGTTGATTCCAGTGGTGGGTATGTGTCGGTTCCTGACAGTCAAAAGGGGCTGTGCAAGGAACAAGCTTTGCTGATGTCTGGCTGCACAATAAAGAGGACATTTGCACTGAAGCGAGCTGATGTGATTGCGGATGGCAGAGGAAGCTGCCAAGATGGCTGTCACAGGGAGGCCAGACACGCAGGTTTTGTGTTCCCACTCCCATAGCCTGGCTCAGGGACCATAAGAGTGAGGGATTAGTGAGGGCAGTGTGCTGACATTATTTTTAACCTCTCATCTTGTGCCTGTGCAAAAGTGCCAGCCTTTTTTCTTTTCCTGTTTTTCATTTTCATGTGAAGCATTAACTGGGTGGGTTGCCATAGCAACCCCTGCATGATAAGTTGGGCTGCTTCTTGCAGCATTCAAGATTTCTGTCTCTCAACATTCAGTTCCCTTCACCATTTCCCCTGGAGTGCCAAAATGGCTGAGAGCTTTGTGGTGCCGAGCCGAGCATCCTGTGCCCTAAGGGTTACACCTGTCCTCCAGCCTCTTCACTGGAGGCATCAGGGCTCTGTTAGGGCAAGAAGGAGCGGCTGTGCATCCTTGCATTGGATGGGGTTTGAAGAACACGTGCTCTCCATCTCTTTCGCAGCACACCAGAGCTGAAAATTGAAACAGGCTTCCAATGTGGCATCCCGATTATTTGCAAGTTTTCCTGAAGAGGGCTGGGCAGTGTTTGTTGCCTATTCAAAACAGGCACATGGAGACGTTGAAAGGGTTCCCAGCTAAGCCCAGATCATAGCAAGAATGAAAGTATCTTATCCTTTTATTCTAAAAACATACAGTATCCCTGAATAAGTCCAGAGAAGTTTTTCTGGGTGTGTGTTTGTTTTAAAAAAACTAACACAGGTTCTGGCAGTTTAATAAACTGGACTGACTACAAATATTTATTTCAAATCACCTTTGATTTTGTCTGTAGTACATGAAGCATGCTCTAGGTGAAGAATAAACTTCTCCAGAGCTTGGGGGAGAGGGTGTGCTCTCTGCTTCCAGGGCCTGTGGCTTTTTGTGTTGGAATCCACCCAAACCCAAGCCCGGTTTCACCAGAGATTTTCTTCACTTCTGGGCCCAATTTCCTTTCTTTAAATAGCACGTAGAACACCAGGCTAGCATGAAGTGCTTGAGGTCAGTACACAAGTGATTCTGAGGGACAACTCATTACTTTTTTGGGATGTTTGTTTGTCACTGTAATTTAAATTGGTTGGCAGGTGAGTGCTGGAGTGCCTGGGGTTAGAGGAGAAAAAGGCTTCTGTTTCTACCTGGGGGAGCTCCAAGGCAGCTGACGGCAGGACTGTGCTAAGAAAGGAGTAGAGGGGGTGAAGGGTCAGTCGGTGTCTGCTGACCGAACCAGCCTTGTAGACCTGCTGCTTCCTCTTAAATCCTCTCAGACCCTCTCTCTCCTCCCTGGCAGGATTCTCTGTAATAGATGTAATTAGAGCAGCCGTAGCACAAACAGTACAGCTTTGCTGATCTGTGTTCTGTGTTTTCTGGCAGTGCACCTGGCTTCCTGAGAACAGATGTGATTTCCACTGTACTTCATGGAACAGGTGGTTGTCAAATGAGATAGCCAGGGACATTGTCCAGTAGTTCCTGTGTCTATAAAAAACCCACCACCAGCACTCATCCGCCACGCACAGGCTGGATTGTTCCAGAAGAGTTAGGAGCAAATCCTGTGCCTTAGCCTGCCCTTCCCTTTGTCGAGTTATTGCAAACATAGCAAGGGGCAATGGGAGAAAAGCAAATGGCTTCACGTGGGAGGCTACGTCCTTCCATCGTCTCTGGGTATTGTGGCTGCCATGTTGTCTTCCTGTGGAGAAAAGTCAGATTTTATGATTTGGATATTTATGATGGATGGCTTCTAAGGGGGGAATTGGAAGTGTGTTGCTGGCATCTGCAGGCCACTGACTCGCAAGCTGTTGGTCTCCATAGTCACACCTGGCTCCTGGAGATATACCTTAAATAGGTGTTTTCTTTCATTAGTTTGCTGGTAGGAGTGCACTGTAACCCAAAGAAGTCTAGGAGCAGAGGGAGCAGTGAGTGAAACCTGACGGCCTGCGTGTAGGCACTGTCATGGCTTTGGTCAGTCCCTGCTGTAATACTTCAGGGCTGCAAAGGTTTCAGGGGTCACAGCCAGACGTGGCTTGGAACAGGGCAGAGTAACCTGTCCAGTCAGTAAAATGAAGCAGCACAAGGAAATTAGGAAGATGTCCTTAGCTAGGAATTACCTGGAGTTGTCACAGCAGGCTACAAAGGGTGGCGTGGAGGCAGTTGCTCTGTACGTGGTTATTGGCAGATGATGAATGCAGCTTGCTGATACAAACATGATTAGATGATGTCTAGGAAAAGCGTTGGCTGTCTTTGTCCTGTGCCTGCTTCGCTTAAGCGGTGTAGGGACCAGACTGCCTGTGTGTGCCCTTAGCACCAAGCCCCCGGTGCCAGGCAGTGCCGGGAGGCAACAGGGCTGTGGTAGTGACCGCCGCCGGCAGGGTTGTGCCCAGCTGAGAGTCCGTGTACAGCTGGAGGGCTCGAAGCTGATGCTTTCTGATGGCTGCAAATTTCCCTGTTTGGGTGGGTCTCGCCGTCTGCGCTCTGAGTTTTGGCACTGCGAGTTGCTCACGTGTGGTTGTCTGAGGGGGTTGGGCAGGTTTAATTCAATAGATTGTGCTGAGCCGACATCAGAGCAGATGCTTTAAAAAGAGGGAGCACATTTAACAAGCACTTCACTTTTCTCTCTCTGTCCACTGTGACCTTCAAAGGTGGAGAAGCCTTTCAGGGCACGGTGGCCCCGGTCCAAAAAGAGAAAGCCCAGCCTGCTGCTGGCATTAAACTCCTGGGAATTGGACTGGAACATGAGGAGAGAGGATTTCCCAGTATTTCCAACAGTGACCTTCAGAGCTGTGCAGACGTTAGTATTAAGCTCATGAGAGGCGGAGGCCATTCTGTGACCCCGCACGGATAACTCTCCCCCGCTCTCCCCCCTCGGCTTCATTTTGGAGGCCGGATGAATGATGCCGATATCCCCTCTCCAGCTGCTCTAGCCAAGCTGCCACGTCCCTGCGGCCGGGAAGGAGGGTGCCCGAGCGCTGACCCCTCCGGCCGC